TTTCAAGCAGTGGATGCTGCTGCCTCTCTGACTCAGTGGACATTTACGGACATGATCCTAACCTCAAAGTCATTTCAATTCTATTATATAACTATTGAAATAAGAAAATAATGGTGCCCTGATCAAAGAAATGCAAATACTTCTCTAGGTACTATTAAGTATTATTCCATTTCTCACTCAGTAAGCATTTACTAAACACCTACTATGTGTCAGGTACTGTGTGCTAAGAACTGGGGCTATAGAAAAAAGCAAGAGTCTGCTCTTAAGGAGCTCACAGTCTAATGGGGGAGACAACACTCAAACAACTAGGTACAAAGAAGCTACAGACAGGATAAAAAGAAGACTAATCAGCAGAGGGAAGGCACTAGCATTAAGGCAGATCAGAAAAGCTTCCTGCAGAAGGTGGGATTTCAGCTGTGACCTGAAGGAAGACAGGGAATCCAGGAAGCAGAGAGGAGGAGGGAGAGCATTCCAGGCTTGGTGAAGAGCCAGTAAAAAGGCATGAAATCAAGAGTTGGAGTGTGTGGTTCAACAAAGAACAAAGAGCCAGTGAAACTTGATCAGAGAGTACCTGGGGATGAATAGGTTAAAAGAAGATAGGAAAGGTAGGAGGGGGCCAGATTATGAATGACTTTGGTTGCCAAATAAGATTTTATATTTGATCCTGGAGGTCACAGGGGGCCAATAGAGTTGACTGAATTGGAGCTTATTTTAAGGGAGTCTGGGGTTTAGGAAGATCAATTTTATTGCTGAAAGGAGCATAGACTGACGTGGGGAGAGACTTGTGGCAGACAGAGACTAACCAGCAGGCTACTGCAATAGTCCTGGCATGAGGTGATAAAGGCCCAAACCTGGGTGTTGACAGTGTCAGAGGAGAAACAGGGCTAAGTACACGAGACATGTTTCAAAGATAAAACTGATAGGCCTTGGTAATAGACTGGATATAGAAGTGAGAGAAAGTGAGGAGCTGAAGATGAGGCTGTGAGCCTGAGTGTTACCCTCAAAAGTAATAGGGAAATCTGGAAGTGGGGAGGGTTTTGAAGGAAAGATTATGAGTTCAGTTTTGGACCTGCTGAGTCTAAGATGTCTACAGAATATCCAATTCAAGACATCTAATAAGCAGCTGGAGATATAAGAGTGGAGATTAGCAGAGAGGTCAGATCTGGATAAGTAGATTTGAGAATCATCAGCATAGAGATGACAGTTGAATCCATAGGGTCTGATGAGATCACCAAGAGAAACAGTACAGAGGGAGAAGAGAAGAGGGCCCGGGATACAGCCATGTAGGGCACCCATGATTAATGTGGAAGACCTAGATGAATATCCAGCAAAGGAGACAGAGGAATGATCAGATATGTAGGAGAACCAGGATTGAGTACATCATGGAAACCTAGAGAGAAGACAGCATCAAGAAAGGCATGACTGACAGTGTTAAAGGCTGCAAAGAGGTCAAGAAAATGAGGATTGAGAAAAGATCATTGGATTTGGCAGTTAAGAGATCATTGGTACCTTTGGAGCGAGGAGTTTGGGTGGAATGATGAGGTGAGACGCTAGACTGTAGATAGTTGAGAAAAGAGTAAGAGGAAAGGAAGTATAGGCATTGATTTTTAGAAGGCCTTCTCAAGGAGGTTAGCCACAAAAAAGAGGCTATATACTGGACAACAGCTACTGTGGATGGATGGATTAAGTGAGAGTTTTTTGAGAAGTTGAAGTATATAGCATCAGATAAGTATATTAATAAATACATTTGGCTATCACTTTTAAAATAATACCTTAGAATAAGTGGTAGCTACTTTTGAATTTAAAAGTTTAACATATCTTAAGGTCCCTTATTATTTTTTTAAATGTATTGTTATATTATTTTTTATATAACCTTCATTTCTCAATGTATCCCTCCTTATCCAGAGAGCCATGTATTACAACAAAGAGGAAAAAAAAACTTTTTCAGCAAAAACATGAATCTGACAGTATATGTAATGTTCTACACCCACATTCCTTCACTTCTGCAAAGAAGAGTGAGGTGCTTTTTCTCATCTCTTCTCAAGTCTTAAGGTCCTTGATTAAATCAGAATGGCTTATATAAGACCTTTGGATTCAAAACCTGTTAACCAATCATACCTTTCAGGTTGCCTACTTCTTTAGATTATTTAAACAGATTATTCAAAAGATATTTAAATTGAAAGATGAAAGGTATCTTTGTCACCTGACATATTTTTACAATATAGATTGCCAATTTCTCCTGGAAATATCGTTAGATGAATTATATGAAAAATATTTTCTGAAAAGCAGAACAGGGACTAAATAAATGGAAAAAAATGTTTAATGAGTCCCTTCAAATCATTGGTAAAATATCTTTTAAATTAATTTATTAAGATATCAGAATTATTTCAAAAAATCTGAATTATGTTTAAATATGAACCTATTATTATAATGTACAGACAGTATTGTCCATTGTTTGGAAAAAGCCAGAGATGACATATATATTAAGTGTGTGAGTGATAAAAAGCCAGGAGTGGCTACTAATACACTCGATAAAACAAGTAATCCAAAAACACCTTGGCAGCAAAGAATGGTGGGTTAAAGCTAATAGGATGAAATTTAAAAGGGATAAAATTTAGTTTTCCACTTGGGTTAAAAAAACCAACTGCCCAAGTATTGAATAGGGTAGATGTAGTTAGATAATTAATATTGTTTAAAAAGGCTTGTGAGCTTAAACCAGAAATATGATGTGGAACCCAAACTAACGTGACTTGTAACTACGTTAACATAAGTATATAATGTCCAGAATGGGGACTATACCCTGATCATCTGGAATATTAAGTTTGGTTCAGAGTGGGGGAGGGAGACTTTTAGTAAAGGCCACTGATAAACTGTAGCCTCTCCAGAGGAGGCCAGCCAGGATGGGGGTCATGGGAAGTGGGGGGGGGGGCACCCAGAAACCATGCCAAAGAGGACTAGGTAAAGGAACTGGGGATATTAGGTTTGGAGAAGCAAAAACTCAAGATCTTGCATATTCAAAAGGCTGGCACATAGAAAAGATTATTTACTCTATATATTCCAGTACCATATATATGGTACATATTTTAAAAATGTTGAACTGAATTCTACTTGGCTTCAAAACACAGAATTAGGCCCAAAGGGTGGAAGCTACAGGATAAATTTCAGTAAAACATAAGGGAAAATACCGTAATAATTATATATGTCCTAAAATGGCATGAGTTTCATTTAAAGATGACATAATCCACAACACTAGAGGTTTTCTAGCTGTCAAGGAGGCTAGGGATGTTATAGAACTATGATTTGAGTAAGGGTTGAATCTGAAATCTCTTCCATCTCTAAGATTGTGGTTAAGTAGTTTTTTAAAAAAGAAAGAAAGTAGTAGTAACTTCCATTAAAATTCCATTTTGGTGCCTCATGGTGGTATGGAGGTGATCTGTTTTTCAAAAGTTATGCCAGGGGCAGCTAGGTGGCACAGTGGCTAGAGCTCTGGCCTTGGAGTCAGAAGGACCTGAGTTCAAATCTGCCCTCAGACACTTGACATTTACTAGCTGTGTGACCCTGGGTAAGTCACTTAACCCTGAATGCCTCACCCCCCCCGCCAAAAAAAGACAATGTTTGGGGCAGGTAGGTGGTGCAGTGAATAGAGCACTGGCCCTGAAGTCAGGAGGACCTGAGTTCAAATCTGACCTCAGATCAAACACTTGACACTTACTAGCTGTGTGACCCTGGGCAAGTCACTTAACCTCAACTGCCTAAGCAAAAAAAAAAAAAAAAATAGTTATGCCAGCAGATGTAGGTTCTGGAAAGTCTTATATCAAGCTGGAAGGATTTCTGGTACGAACTTGGCAAAGGACTGGCATTTGAGGCAGGCTGGAAGAGATACTAGTACCCTAGACCACCAGGTAAATTTTTCGTTATAACAAATCCAGAAGAACACCCAAGCATGAAAAGGCTGTGATCAGCACTGGTACAGAGAATGCTCACACTGATGAAATCACAGATCCTCTGCAATGCTGAAGAAGTAACTACTTCAGGTGACACATAAAACAACAGAACAATATTTAGAACAGTAACAACTCTTTTTGGCGGGGGCACATTAGTGGGTTTGTATGAATTCTTTAGGATATGGAGCTCAGAGTCTCTTGCTTATGGAGAATCAGGAATAAGTGAACGCAGGAGTAGCTGGAAGGATAAACGCAGTTCTATCTACATTTGTGACTTCTACTCTAACTGTACCTAACATTCCAGGCTCTGAACTTCCTTCTCTCCACTGCCACATTTTATATTACCTGGATCTGCTAACTGCCTGCCCTTTTATTCTGCTTTTCACGAATCTACTCGCCCTTTTGCTGTCCTACCTTCTATCCATCTCCATCTCTCCTCTTCATTTGACTGCTACTTGCCTCCGTCTTCCTTGAATCCACAGTCACCTGAAACCTTTGCAAGTATAGTTCAAGTGGAAAGGCCCAAACATTCCCATTAGACAGTATGACTGCTCCATAGACACGAACTTGTGACTACATTTGTTCTATAGGAGTTTTTGCTTAATAAATTTTGGGTGGGGAAAGAGACTGGCTCTTGCAGGCTGGACATGCAACAACCATTTCCAGGCCAATCCCATTACTGATGAGCATAGGTGCTTTAACCTGCTCCAGGCAGGTGGTTATACCATATTGATACGGACTTAGCACAGTACTGGTGGGCTAGGATCTGCCTAGCCCACTGCAGCTCTGTACTCCTGGGCCGAAGAGATTCACCAGCCTTAGCCTCCTGGTAGCAGGCACCACCAAACCCAGCTTAGAGTTTATTTAAATACAAGAAGAATGGCACTTTTACTATGAATATCCTTGCAGAGCATGGAAATATCTTTGTATAACAGAACTCTACATCAAAATAGCATTTTTAACACGTAATTTTTCTTCCTGATCCTTAGTAGAGTGACTTGTAATTTATCATTCTTAATTACTTGTAAAATATTCATACATCGAGAAACTACATACTTTTTTGAGTCGTTTGGTTTTTCTTGATGAGATTTTGATATTCTTTTCCAAAACGATATCATCAGCATTCTCTAAATCATGGGAAATATAATGAAAATTGAGATGAGAACATGAAAGCTATCAAAGCAACGGACACTAATTACCAAATCCAATTTTCTCACTCACGAGTTTAAAAAAATGAGATTGTTACTATTTTTTAAAGGGTCAATGGTCCCAGTTATAGTTTATTCTTTTCATTGATCGTCATTGAGCAACAAATACAAGCTTTCCTGTGCCTGCTGTTGGGGAAGGGGTCCCAAAGGCCCATCACTGCTCTCTCTTAGGTACTATGCCAAATTGATTGATTGTCTATATAGCTTCTCTTTATAGGACAGCAGTTGCCTAATGGTCATTGAGAACAAGTAGCTTGCTTGGGCTGCTATCTGCAGGAAATGGAAATTTTGAGGTCCCATTATCTGGTTATTGTGGAAAGTTGTTAGAGGGGTTGTCACAGTGTCCTGAGGTATTCTTATGAATAATAATAGCTAACATTTATATAGCACTTTGACGTTTCCAAAAAATGCCAGGACTGTGACAAAACACCAAACCCTTTGCCATCATAGGACAACTGAAGTAGCTCACATTAATCACACTCATTGGAGGCGGGAAGGACAACCATGTGTTACATGTGATTTAGGGGATTTTCTAGCACCCAGTGCCACATCCTGAGACAGAAGAGAACAGTAGACCTTAAGGTAGCTCAAAGCATTCTCATTACTTGCTAAACTAGAAAGGAATAGGGAATTATGTGAGATCCTCTCTTCCCACACATTTGCCTATCATAGCTCCTAATTTTGATTGCTTTGAAAGGTATGCTTTGGGACCTCTGGATTTATCTGCTAAGGACTTTGAAACTGGGAAGTTCCACCAGGGAACTCTGGAGCTTCTGAAGGGGTGTGCCATTATAAGTGTACATCAGAGAATTCCAAAGAGTGTCCTTAATCCCCAAATTCCAGGATTCTCAAAAACACTACCTAGCAGCTCTTGTTTGGGACAGTGAGACAACATGTATGAGAGTCTAGGTAAAGGAAAGTATATTGAATTCATTTGGCTCTCTTACGTACTTTTTATCAGATATATAATCTGGGTATCTTAAAGGACTCTAAAGTTTTCCTGTAATAGATTTTGACTTTAGGAATCAATTACCAATTTTGGTATTGTTATTAAGATGATATTAGCAAAGAAAAAACTTTTTTTCAGGTATTTGAATGCTGTCAAGTGGTTACAGTTGTATAATTCTCCCTTGTAGGACCAAATCCTTGAACAACAAATGGCCCCTGATTTTCATGACCTGTTGGAGGACCTAAGTGAAAACTGGTGGGGAAAAAATGGTATTTAGGAGCTCAGTTTGCATACCATTTTAAGATATATGAACTGCTCTGGACAAATCCATTAAAAGCAAGAATTTTTAGCTATATGAATTTTGGATTAACCATAGTACCTTCCTTTTCCTCTCCTTCCAGATACTGAAGTGGCTCTTTAGTTTTCTTCTTAACCTTACGCTGCATTGATGGACTTGAAGTGGTCAACAACTCTAGCAGTTTATCCTCATAAACCTGTCTTGTGGAGGCTGAGAAAATTGAGAAGAGTTTACGTTATCCCTTATCAACTTACTATCCCACTGGCCACAGCAGCTCTTCTAAACCTTTTCAAACCTCCTCAAACCTTCCATGGCTTCCCCCTTTTGTCACACTCCCAGTTGAGAACCTTGTTTCATATTTTACAGAAAAAAGAGGCCATTCATCATGACTTCCCTCTTTACCCCTCTTCCTCATCTCCCGTCACTCAAGTGCCTTCTGCCACTGTATCCTTTTTCATCCCTGTCTCACATGATGAATCCTTACTCCTTACCAAGGATAACCCCTCTACTAGTTTAAGTCATTCCATTCCATCCCATGGCTTTCCAACAGATTGTCCCTTCTGTCATCCTTACTCTCTCACTTATTTTCAATTTCTTCCTGTCTACTAGTTCATTCTCTACTCCTACAAACATGCCCTAGTCTCCCTCTACCCTGAAAAAACCCTCACTTGACTCTTCCAACCCCACGATTATTCTCTATCTATTCTGCCCTTTGTAGCTATCCTCAAAAAGATCATCTACAGCAGGTGCCTCCACTTTCTCTCCTCTTACTCTCTTCTGATGCCCTTACAATCTGACTTCTAACCTTATCATTCCACTGAAACTGCTCCCTCCAAAGTTACTAACAATCTCTTACTTGCCAAATCCATTAGCCTTTTCTCAATCCTCATTCTCCTTGACTTCTTTGCAGCCTCTGACACTACTGACCACTCTCTCCTCCTTGATACTCTCTCTTCTCTCTAGGTTTTTGGGATACCACCTCTCTCCTGGTTCTCCTCCTACCTATCTAACCAACCCTCCTCTGTCTCCTTTGCTAAATCCTCTTCTAGATCATACACTTTAACAGTAGGTGTCCCACAAGATCCTGTCCTGGGCCTTCTTCTCTTCTCCCTCTATACTATTTCACTTGGTGATCTCATCAACTCCCATGGATTTAATCACCATCTCAATGCAGATGATTCTCAAATCTACCTATCCAGCCCCAGTCTGCTGATCTCTAATCTTGGATCTCCAACTGCCCTTCAGGTATCTTGAACTAGAAGTCCAGTAGACATCTAAAACTCAACATGTCCAAAACAGAACTCATTTTCTTTCCCTCTAAACCTTCCTCCACCTCCTACCTTCCCTAATACTACAGAGGGCAACACCATCCTCCCAGTCCTTTAGGTTCCCAACCCAGGAGTCATCCTCGACCCCTTACTATCTCATAGTCTGCCTGCCTCAAGTCTCCCCCGACTCCAATCCATCCTCCATTCAGTCACTAAAGTGATTTTCCTAAAGCATAAGTCCAATCATGTTACTCCTCTATTCAATAAACTACAATGGCTCCCTATTGCCTACAGGAACAAATACAAAATGTTCTGTTTGGCATTCAAAGTCAAAAATAAACTATCCCTCGCCTACTTTTCCAGTCTTCTTACACTTTACTACCCAACATATACTCTTCATTCAAGGGACACTGGCCTCCATGTTGTTCCACTTACTCTATTTCTTGGCTTCAGGAATTTCCCTGGCTGTCCCCAATACCTGGAATGTTCCTCTGCTCAGACTGACTTGCCTGGTTTCCTTTAAGTTCTGACTAAAATCCTATCTTCCTACAGAAAACCTTCCCTACCCCCTATTAATTCTAGTGCCTTCCCTCTGTTAATTATTTCCTATTTATCCTGTATATAGCTTGCTTTGTATACATTTATTTGCATATTGTCTCCCTCATTAGAGTGTAAGCTCCTTGAGGGCAGGAACTGTCTTTTGCCTCTTTTTGCATCTCTAGAGCTTAGCTGTGTCTGGCACATAGTAGGTACTAATTAAATATTGATTGATTGAAATTATTAAAATAAGTTTTACTATCTAATCAAATGATATTAGATAATAAAATTTTTATGATTCTTATATCATGTTATATATATATATATATATTTTAAATGCAATTGGTCCCATAGCTATATAACCCTTTTCTGTATATTGATTCTGTTATTGATGAAGAAATTAAATTTCCCTCCCTGACATAAAACTTTTCACTAGTCCCTAATTTCTGTTTTTGTTTGTTGTATGCATACGTATTATTGTCCCCGAATTATATCCATGGTTCATAAGCTGTTCCTGCAATTCGCTGTCTGTCAGATTTTTAATATCCACCATGCTAATGGGAACTTGGCCTTCTTCTTTAGCCATTGAACCTTTGAAATAATAAAACATTCAATTAATTAAGAGAGTCTTACAAATAAGTATCAAAAATTATCAACCCACAAGAATGTTTAACTTGTCTATCCTACCCCAGCAAGAATATAGGCAGCAAATGAAATGGCCATTCTTTCTGTCTTACTGTAAAAAAATTATTACTCACCATGAGGGAGCAGCCAATCACTGTTTACAAAGATACACTAAAATCATCTCATCTTTGCTCCTTCTATTACAAAACCTATCAGCTGTCAATGACAAAGAGCTTGAAGTGACACTCCTCCCAATATTATATTGTTCAATTACTTCTAACTTTTTCTAACAAATTAGAATGAGAAAGATCTTCCTCAGAAATTATCTAAATTACTAACACCTTAATATTTCCATAACTGCCTAAAGACCTCAAGTACGATTCAAGCTTTGAAAAGAGAGATAAGAAACTAATTAAATATGAAAGAGAAAGAAATTTCAATAAGTTGAATGAAAGTTATTTATTTCTGACCTTCTAAAGAAAGTAGAGGACAGTAAGTTATTCTGAACAGTAGTGTTTTTCACACTTGTAATTTACCTCTGAATATAATGAGATGGTAGTTTTTAATTAACTGCCAGCAGACTTCGTAATTGCTGAATTGGCATTTGAATGAAGTTGGCTATTCAGTCCCTGGCACAGAAATTGATTTATACAGATTTATACAAGTCATGATCCAGTGTTCCAAACTCCTCAGCCTCAGGTTCAATCAGTTTTATTCAGATAATCCTTTCATCAGAGAACTAAAATCTCTACCCATTTAACAAAAACCTGAAGAAGAAAAAAGCAAAAGCCATTAGCAATACTTTAAAAAAGAAAGAAAATCCACCTTGAGTTTATTTATTATATGCATCCATTTAATTCTTGTTTTATCAGATTACAAAGCATTTTAACATTGTAGTGAAAATCACTGCAAGACAATTACACACCATAAAAGGATTTGCCTTCATAAGTAATCAATCATTGTCCAATTAGGGGAACATAGTACACTAGAAAGAATAAAAAAAAAATCTTATGAGCTATTCTGCATAATGAGTCAGTAGTTCAGAACAAGTTTATCACTTCTCTTTTTTGAAGTCAGGTGTGTTGTTTTTTATTTTTTAATTTCATTTCAACATTGTTATTCTTGAGAAGCAGCATGGTGAAATAGGGTTGACCTTGGAGCCAGTCAGACCTAGGTTCAAGTCTCTCCTCTGGCTATCTGACTTCTCAGCGCTCCAAACAGTTGTCTGAAACTTTTGAGGTACAAAGAAAGTACCAACCTACACTGGTAAAGAGCATTTTGTCACCTGGGAGTTCCCTGAATCAGTGAAATCCCAAGTCCAGCCCTATTTTATCTCGTATTCCCTGTCAGAATATAAAACTGCTGGGCATAAGAACTGTTTCATTTCATTCAAGACTATCACATGCCTTGCATATGGTAAAGGTTTAAAAATAAATAAGACATTTGATCAATGTTCATTTGTCAATGAGGCAGTCAAGGATAGAGTGCTGGATTTGGAATCAGGAAGGCCTACTTTGAAGATTTGGGATCAAAGCCTCTCTGAAGCCGACTACCTCAGTGACCCAAGAACAAGTTGCTTAATCTTTCTGAGCCTCGGTAATTCAAAGAGTATAAATGACATAAGATGCAACTAGTAATCAATGGTTGGAGTTCTTATCAGAAAGAAATCACTAGTCCTTGAGTTCTTGACATGTATTTTTGTGGAATTATTACAATGAACCTATGCTTAACTTGTACTGTAGAGAAGCCAAATTAAATGCTTTGAACTTATGGGTCAAAGGACCTTGGTAGAGACCTGGGTCTACTGTCACTAGCACGATCTTGGGCAAATCACAAACATCTCTGAGCCTAAGATTCCTCAGATATAGAATGGGTGTAATGATACTTGTACTATCATCCTAAGGTTGTTAGAAAAGAATGTGTAAAATGTCCACCCCTATTTAATTGTGAGCTATTACAGGTCATGGAGGTACCCTGAAGAAAAAGTAAAATAAGATACTGATGATCTTTTCAGTTTATATAAAACTAGCTCAAGCACATTTGGGGACATCTGTCCTTGCAAAGCAGTTTCTGCTGTTTTACCTGCTCCCCCAAATAGACTCTAAATGAGATCTCATCAGTTTAAAGCACACTTGACAATTGCCTAGAGGAAATAATGAAATATATGAAAAAAATATTAAAATGGAATCCAATTGGATGATTAATCCACTTACCCCTTCATAAAGCCTAAAAGGCGCCAAAGCTATGTGACTTTTGCCTTGAGGTTTCTATTAGCAACCAGGTCTTCTGCCTATTTAGACATTATGATAGTCATAATACTTACAGTGTGACATCAGTAACTTCCATAGCAACAGATTGATATGAAAACAAGTTTACAATTTCATGCCAAGTTCCAACTGAAGGAGAAATTAGTTTCTTTGAATTATGTCTTATGGCAAAGAGGCAGAAGATATAGAGAAATCATCATTACTTATCAATCAATCACCAAACATTTAATTGTCCATACTATGTATAGGCATTGGGTATGCTAGACCCTGGGGATACAAAGACAAAAATAAAATAGCCCTTGCCTTTACATTCTATCACGGGAAACAAACAAGGTGCACATATATAACTATATAAAAAAAATATGACTCATAGAAAGTAGGGAAACACTATCTAATTAAAATGAGTCCAAAAAATAAATTAAAAAAAAAAAAACAGAAGAAATGATCAAACAAGCCTAAAGGACTGGATAATCAATACGGGATTCCAGTGGATGAGTAATTTGGTTATGTGGTGTAGAAGTAGAGGAAAGAAGAAAAGGAAAATGTTTTAAACGTAAGTATTCATACTGGTATGAGAATTAGCCAATATGGTATTTGTAACAGGGGACTGGCCAAGGACTGACTAGTGTAGGAAGCAGGCTTGCCAAATCCCCCACATGGTTTGGAGGTTGGCAAAGTCTGTAAACTGGTCACTTGTTGGCTGGTCTCTGGTTACAATGGAACAAAATTAAGGAGAATACTTTGCATTTGTACAATGAAAGACAGATAAGCATGGACTGTGTAGCTGCTAAAGTGCTGGAATGACAATCAAGAAAACCTAAATTCAAATCTTATCTCAAGTGCTTATAGCTCTGTAACCCTGAGCAAGTCACTGAACCTTGGAGGATGTAACTCAAAGGACTGTTTTGAGGAACAATGCAATAATATAGGTAAAGAGTTCCGCAAACCTTAAAGCACTCTTTGTCTGGGATAGCTGGTGATGCAGTAGATAGAGCACTGGGCTTGGAGTTAGGAAGATGTGAGTTCAAATGTGACTTGAAGTTACTTAACTTCTGCTTGCCTCAGTTTCCTCAACTGTAAAATGGGGATAATAATAGCACCTACCTCACAGTGTTGTTGTGAGGATCAAGTGAGATTTTTGTGAAAAGTGCTTAGCACAGTGGCTGGCAGATGCTAATTCCTTTCCCTTTATTATAATGCTTGCTGGTTGATAATAAGAGTATTATTATTTATTATTAATTAATGCCATTTTAGGGATGAGGAAACTGAGGCTCAACAATGTTGGAGACACTATTCAAATTCAGTTCTTTCCTGATTAGAAGTTCACATTTATGATCTCTTAACCACATCCCTACAGATGGGTAGGATTAGTTCTACTGTACAGACTAATTAAAAAAGGCCAATGATAAGACCATGAGACTGAGGTCTCTTTTAAGAAAAGCTGATGAGCTAAAAGTAAATCACAAGGCAAAAACCAAACCAAACCAAACAAAACAAACAAAAAAACCCAGCATGGGAAAAATACAGAAAGTATAGATCAAATACAAAGGTTAGTAGAGCACCAGCAAGTCAGTGATGTTTTCACTTATCTTATCCACACTAGGCTAGAGTCTATACTATTTTAGTAGATATCCTCCTCTACACGATAAATTTCCACCAACTCCAAAAGAACTAATAGTCTTCAGCTCTCCATCAGTGATGTTCACAGGGTGATTCTGATCATAATTTCAGGGCTATGGCTAAGGATGTTTTTAAATAAAGTGTTTGTTTACTAACAAATTCTTTGTGTGAACACTTGATAAGAGTCAAACATTGATTTCCACCAGACAAAGACTTCCAAAATTATCACATTTGTTTCAATAAAAGCAAATAAATGATAGGTTTGAGCTATTAGGATGCATGAGCAATTTGTTTACATTTCCAGGCAGTGCTCCCAACAAAAAGCTACTTGCCAGGTGGAAATGCTTTCATTAAATACTTGGGCTGTTGAGATGATGCAAACATTTTCAAGATATTTTCTTGGCAAAAATATCTGAAGTTTGACACATCAAGCAAGGAGACAAAGGGCTAAACCATAGATGATTTTAGCCAAAAGAATATCTCCTGGGCACCCCTGGACATAGAAGGCACTGTGCCAGGCACTGATCTCTTGAAGTTCTTTCCAGCTCTATGATGCTAAGATATTTCACTGGAAAATTTTGTATTGAAGGATGCTGAGTTATCTGGATTTTCTCTCTATTTTCTCCACATTTACCATGTAAATTGCTCCTTCTTCCACTTAGGTTTGACTGTGTCTACATGAGCCTTAGGTTGCTTTTTATTTTTCCCAGCGCTCATAAAGGTGTTTTATTCACATTATTCACTGGAAAGTAGTATTTCAAATGCCAATCTACTAGGAATTCAACATGATAAGGTATCCAAACACAGAGATCTTCCTCTTTTCATTAAAATGTAGAGAAAAATTTTCCTCCCTTAATACCAAATGCTGTTATTAAACCTAAATAACTGAAATAGTAAAAGCCAGATGTCACTGCAGTTATAGGTTTGGTACCACACAATTTTCATTACTAAAGTTTAATCTGCAGTTATTTACTTACTCCATCCTTTGGAAGAATGCACAATTTAAATGTAAATGCAATTTACCAGGGGAGCCAACAGTAGATATGCAGTTTCAACTGCCAATAACCATCTGCAA